TTATCCAGAATTGTTCTGTTGTCAGTGATCAATTGTTCTGTGATATTGCTATGAGATCGAGCCTTTGTTCGCTAGTGAACAGCTGAATGCATTTTAAAAAATTTTATTATGTTAGCTGATGCATGTAAAAGAGAACAATTGCATTTTAGATTCAACAATTGCCGAGTGTGAGGTTGGAAGGATTTTGATCTACTTTCTGGCTCATGGGGTGTGATGCAACTGTTTAATGTACATAAATGAATGATATATTCCACTGTGCCCATGGCATTAGTCCCACTGTGCCGAAATTCATTTATATTAAGAACTACACTCATTTGAATGAATCAAAGTTTCAGATCGATCAACTGCAATCTGCTCCGTTCTGCATCAACATCCTCGCTTACGGTCAAGGCTGTGCACGTCGTACAGCAAGCACAGCAACTTCTAAATCTGATACCGAGTAAGTTTTTGTCTCAATTTTCTACTTCTGCTGAACTAATTTTTCTCGCATGCAATATGACCCTTGACCATGTCCACGTAATTCCTTCAAAACACTGAAGAGTGTAAAAATCACATGAATTCATCAAATTTGAGGCACTGAAGGAAATGTTCGCTTGAAGGGATGTATGCATGGAAGCTTTAAATTCAAGAATAAAATTACGGTAGCATTAATAATCGGAACGGACCATTTAAACTATTCTTGAGCTGATTCTATTACCGATGTACTGACCGAGTTGATGACGCGTTTGCAAATATGTCGATTATCAGTCGCTATCAACAACTGATTTGCATGCTTATTTCGTTTCTTACAGGTCGTCCTCACTAGCAACGCCACCACCATCGATTGATCACCTGAGGATTATCACTGAAATAGATCAATCTACTCAAACATCACGCTCAAATTCACGTGAACTGTGAATGACCGTCTACAGATCGCTTGAACCACAAAATTAATCTCTCATTTTTCCGTTAAAATCTGCTTTCAAATCTTCGATGCTTTCTGAAGAGTTTCAAAACGTTTTCATTGATGGTAATTTCGATGAAATTTTCACCGTGTGATAATGTAATAAGATATCAAAAGGTGTCACAGCCTCACAAATACAGACTCTCCTTTATTGCATTGATTTCTATTCAGTCTGTCGACTGCCACAAAACTTTTACGTCTTTATATTGAGTTTTCAAATGCGGATGAAACTAATTGAGCAGTTATTACTGAAAACAACCAATCGAGAAGGAATTTCGAGGAGAACACCCTTGCTAAGTAAAAAACAACATGACTTGTATCATGAAGTAAAAAATGACAATACTTTCAAAGTCCTGTTACAAACTCGTTCCACTGAAACGTTCATACGTGTTTCGTTTTTCGATATTATCATGATGATAAATTCAAAAGCGTTGCTGTCGGAAATCATTTCAGTAATTATTCCGAACTGTTTCCAGGTGAATCGCTCTGTTTAATTTTCTAATGAATCATTTTCATAGGCTGAAATTTGCATGACCATCCTTTATTAATACGTAGTCTACGAATAGCAAATCGAACTGTTCTGATGGCTATTAAGCAATTGCTTTGTATCGACCCAACTGAGCGATATTTCTCAAAATATTGTGTGTTCAGCGACGGTCTAATAGTTTTCAATTACTCTCCAAAGATAAATCGGCCTACAGCATTTGGAATAGATAAATTTAGAGAACACAGATAGGCATGGCAAAGGATCGATTCATTTTTGCTCCATAAGCGCATTCGATTCATCATTTACCAGAAAGGTAGTCTTCAACCTAATAGTTGAGACAGTTGAATCTTCAAAACTTATTCACAATCAATGTTGTGATGAATTGGTCAGTGATCTTATTTCTCCGGCGTTAACCAGCCTTTTGCGTCATCCATTCTAAATTCATTTTAATTCTATGTCATCCATCCATTTAAAACTCAAGTAAATATCATGAACGATTCAAGTGAATATTTGCATATTTTTCCTTGTTTGTGTGCGTTAATGAATAGTGATCCTGGCGTTCATGAATGATTTGTAAATCTCAGAGATGATCAGAATGAAGTCTTGAAATGTTGCAACGAATTTTTTTCATGGTAGAAAATTCTTAAATTGTTCGCAGTTGTACGCGAAACGACGGAGTTTTATTCTCTGATATTTTCATGCACTGTTGAGGTTGTGGACAGATTCTGATGAATTATTCAGCGATGATTCATCCATCCAGAGTTTATCCCCGAATGATTTTCATTCCAAGTTGTCAGCCTCAGTTGAACATAGTCGATCAAGACGTTCTACTCATGTTTGATCAGTTTTGTTTTAGGGCAGTATAATTACTCAAAAAACTTACAGCAAGAAAATATTCTTTTATATTGCAATCGAGCGATATTGTAAGCTAACAGAGCGCAATGAAACAAAAAATAAAAAATGCAAAGCAAGCATGTGAATTACATAAACGCTAATATGCCTATTTAATGTTGTTGCTCACGCGTCATTCATGGTGTATTTCAGCATCGACATTATATTTTCTCTCACCTTCCTCCAGCAAAAGAATCTCCGTTTTTCAAAACAGTGAATGAATGTTCCATCAGATACCATCGCTCTGAATAACGATTCATGGTTCAGCGCTTCAAAGCTGAATTCTTCTAAACAACTGTTGTGTTCACATAGTACTTGCAGCTGCATATTCTATTACGTTTTGTGTAACATTTTTGTATTGAGTCATATTATCACATATATTATAAATGATTAATATGTATTTTAACAAAAATTTGTCATTCATATTACTGGAATAATATTTTCACTATACTACTATCATCATTATCATCACTGAATCAAACAGCGAATAAATCAGTAAATTTGTATCGATGAACTTTGTAAGTTGTAATTTATCGTCATCTACTGATTGGCTTCGCCTTTGAATTGATGACCGAATTTAAGAGAGGTGCCCGGTTAATTCATACATCTGGGTGACGAATCATAACTGAGTAAATGTAGAACAAGGAAATATAACAAATATGATTAAACTGCACGAAATGGTAGCATTGGACGATCCTAAACATGATGTCACCATAACAGAGAGAATATGCCGTCTCAGTGCATGAGAGTGATCAAAGTGGTCAGTGGTCACTCAGTGTGGTTATTCCCATCAAGGGTCATCTTACGATCGAACTGTACCGTCGATAAGAACAACATTAGTCCTGCAACAGCACAACGATAATATGTTCGATGGTCATTATTACGTCTTAAATATACGAAGTAGTCCTTCAGCGAGTGAACTACTTATCCACCTTCATCTAGTGGCGTCGATTGATTGACTAACTGATTGATTTGATCATGGGATCTGATCTTGTTCTGATGACTATCGAACATATTGGATATAGTTGTTCTCAATATTCCTCAATGCGACAACAGTAATTTCAATTACTGAATATTGTGCATGAACGGGCACTGATAAAAGAGATGAACCGATGTGGAAATAGACCTTTTCTCGTTTTGCAAACTAAGTAAACCGTTCATTTCATTCATCTATTCATTTTTCGTTTCTATTCTTGTAAAATGCCAACGGATGGAGAATTTAGCAATTTCTTGCTTCTTCACAGTATGTATACTCGCTTTTGATTCGAAATTTTCGCTCTCGCTTGCTTGTCAGGGCCTTGGAAACCTCAGATAATTCTTTTTCAAAACATCGCTGATTGTGACTTTGAAGGAAATATGCAGTTGACATTATGAGTACGAGAAGTGAATCGTGAAAGCTTAAAACTAAATGGTACTTGCTTGTCATGTAGAGTTGATCGCTTCAAAAACGAATAAAGAACAAGAGGCGACTTAAGACTTTGCTGGATGTAAATAACTATGAGCAGTGATAGTTTGAAACTGTAACGAACAAAAATTTGAGAGTTTGGGTGGGTGTTCTGGAATGGAATCGAAGAAAAACGCGGAAACGATAAGAAAGGGTGATGAGAGGGAAACGGATGAATGAATCGCCGTTCGCTTTTGTTTGTTTGACAATGATGATTCAGATGCCATTTTATGCACATTCATTGTTGCTGTTAACGTGACGATTTGTCATACAACGCACATATTATAACTGCTTATTACTACAATTGCATTCAACAACATCTTACAAAATTAAACATTTCATTGTATGACGATTTGCACTATTATCTTTAGTGGTATCCTCATTTCTTTATTTATCATCGTCGTTTTGATTTGCATTCATCATTTTTCATTCATTTCCTCTTCATGTCTTATGATCAAAAGACACTTAAGACTTTGGTAGTATTTCGTTTTCAGTTATTCCAATTCGTACATGTACAGTATTTTTGAAAGTTTTTCTGTGGGGGTTTGATAGTTAAAAAATGACCATTTCGCCTTATTTTGCTCACAATTCCACTTTCCCAGGCTATTTTTTGTCGTGCAATTATGTCTTTTTCGAAATCAGTTGTATTATTGCATGCGATTCGTTTTCTTTTTTCGCGGTTTTATTTCCACTGATATTCTTTGTTCTGTTTGGTCATCTTACAACTAATTTTTCTATCTCATCACCCGGCCACAATAATTCATGGAAGAATTTCCAGTCATGGAAAGGAAAGATCATCATGTGTTTTTGCAGCTCACATCATCTTTTCAGTACTCATAAAATCTGACGCGTTCTATTGGTGAATATCATGGCTTCAGCTTCATTCGTTTCCAATTCGCCTGCACCATCATCACTAATAATTTTGTTTGAGAAATTTCATTTTTCTCTTCTCCACTGAAACTTTCATCGGTTTGTCCACATTAATCGTTTAAATGAATCATTCACTTTGATCAATTGATTCCCTTTTGGTCTTTAAAAATTTGGTCTAGTCTCGTTATATTTGAACAACAAACACCCAGCTGCAGTCTGCTGCAGCTTCTGTTTGCCAATTTATTTGCTATCGACTTGTTCCTCAGTATCGTAATCTTATTGAGCTTCGCAAGCGGATATGAGTACTGCACTGTAAATTTGTAAAAAAGAATGAATCACTTGCATTCGCATAATTCATTTTACGCAAATAAACCCACACGAATGATGCACAACAGTGAATGAAGATCGCATATCAAGCAAACACAACGATAATGGACTACAAAATGTGGAATGCCTGTGAATTCGCAAATAAAGCACTTCGTTTCTATGATCGTTTCAAATGAAGCTTCTGTAATTGTACTGAAGCATCATGTCAACTCGCAAAAACTGTCACTGAACATAGTAATTCTGAAATTCACAGGTTTCGATCACCACTGCTAATTGATCTATCACATGCACAATTGGATATTGGTTTCGTTTTTGCAATTTATTCCGTAATCTGTCGTTGATGCCATGCGAAAATATCCCTTGAAAAACTTGAAGCAGTTAATTTCTCATGTTATCGCACCGTCTCATTGTAACGTAATGATCAACCAAGGTCTGAGATTTTGATGGCTTTCCCAGATCTTCCTGCAGTTCTGAAACGATCTCTTCTGAAAGAAACCGTCATCACTCGAAATCGCTCTAATTGAGCTGTGCTCTCTTGTGTCCGATTGCAATAAGCAATAGCAATAACATCAATAATGGTATCAATATTAATTTATTGCTGAACAAATTATGAACATTCTATGAACTGCGTACACATTTTATCAGCAATATTTATTGACTTTGTCAAGGTCATCGTCGCAATCGACAATTAGGAAATAGACAAACTTTAAACTCTTCTAGATATTATTCTGTTTTCTTATCCCCCTACTCCATCCTTTCCTCCTAACCCTCTCCACTCCCGTCACATTACTATTTTAACTACTTGATATATACCTAGCTTATTCCGTGTCAGCTTCTTACTGCTCAATTTTGTTTACTCAACGAGATCATCGACAACACAACGTACAGTCAACCTCCTAATGCACATTGTCAACTAACACTGCAAAATACACCTCAACGAATGGCTCGATTTGTTACTCTTCAAGCCATTGCAATAACGGCACAATCATTATCATTTTGATGTTTCAGTTATTACGTCTGTTCTTTATTATTTCAATATTTTCCAAAAATCGACAATCATAGCACGAAGTCAGTATTCTCAGGTATATTTCAAATGTAAGTTCTTGAGAAGTTCGAATTCCAAAACCGTTATGCCCACTCAACGGCTCTCATTTCACTCACCTCTTCACCGCCTCTGATTTGAATTCTAGACATTTTAACCGTTATAGTACTTTGGAATAATGTGAGGCATCTGAAATTGATAACTGCCGTGATCTGATGATAAATTGAATTTCACACTGATGGAATAACTCGATGATTGGAAGATTATAAGCATGATCAATTCATGCAGAGTAACCTCGTGCACGTTAGAAGCTCTTTTCCTCAGTGGAAACGATTTCCTCTTGTTCTGNAAATCGCCATGAAATTTTGGCGTGCACAATACTGAAAAGAGCACAAAAGATAGCGAAATCGAGTTTTTGAGTAGAGAATGAAATGATAATCATCGCATCGGCATCATTATTGTAACAGTACAGTTTGACAGGAACCTGTTTTGCCTTTATAAGCAATTAGCGAACTTTTCATCTATTCTTTGCCTTCAGTCCAACTTGCAATTTTCCGCTTGACGATTGAGAAAATTCCGAACGGAAACATTTATTTGTCTTGTGATTCCTTCACAAGAAATTTTGAAAAAGTTTCAGTGAGCTGGTTCGATTTGCGATATCGACTCCATCAATAAATGCTAAAATCGTTCTTCAAAAAAAGCTGCCTCCCAAATTTAATCTTGCAATTTCTGACAAATGTGAATTTATTGAAATTTTAATAAATGGGCGAAAAATTACGAGCTGTTCAGTATTGTGTGATAACTGGGAGAAATATTCGTATCGTGTATTATAAATGAGGCCACTTTAATGATAAACAAAATATTTCAACATTTACTTTATCAGCGTGATTCCTCCAAATTTTTATCAGCCACCGGAGAATAGTGATGCATAAAAATATTGCTCTTATTCATTTCTTATCGCCGATTATTTTTCACAAAATCAGCATGTCTGTGTTTAAATTCAGACAGTGACAACTATATCAATGCAGAAATATATGACTGAGTAAGATAAATATGCACTTGTTTCTATACATTTGTTCGTTTACCTATCTTCGCTTATTTAAAAAAATTTGCATTTTCATTTAGCTTTTCATTTATTTGAGACATCCTCTAAAATTCTCACGTCCTTATCGTTAGATTGCTGTCGCCCTCGGTTTTTTAATTTTCTGCACTGTATATAAATCATCAAATTCCTTTCACAAATATATTACACTCATAAAAATGGTTTCCCATCTCTTTTATTTGCTCTTCTTGATGGCGCCTTCATTATCAGTATTATTTGTTTGGCTGCGATTATCAGTCTTTGTGATACCTTCATGTATTTTTATACCGTTTGTTCATTTCAACCATTGCTGCAAGAGGAGTGTTCATCTTAAACGAATCGCACTGGATTTTTCATTTCATCAGACTGATTATCAGCCAATCAATCTTCCGTCTTCAAATTATACTATTGTATGCCGGCTAATGACATTGACAGAATTCCTTATCTGAATTCACCGATACTGACACGAAATCTTTATAGTTTGAAAGGTAAGGAGCGAGCTCATTAGGTCATGATATTAGGAATGAAACTCTTCTTATGAGGTAGGTGTTGATAGGTGTTACGGATGATGATAGTAATAATACTTTATGAGTGTTACCGCTACACTTTTGGTAAAAGTATCAGAATGGTCAAAGGGTCGAAGGGTAAAGGACCGCTAAGGGACAGTCATAAAACGTATTGTTATTGTTACTGATCATAAAATCGTTGAATTGCTAAGAGATTATATCATTCAGAATAAGGTCTCTATCACAGATATCACGTTGAGAGTGTCATTACGTTGCTTTTCTCAAGTCTCATATCTATTATAGATCCACATCGAAAACTTATTTATCATTGCAGTATATGTAACCANTTCACCAATAAGGTGTTTCAGTTCCTCGTTGTTCTCAATTCTAACACCAGAACTATTCGGTTTATGAGGCATGTTACCGCTTTCTCATTTAGCACCGCATAACACTTTGTTTAAATGATCCGATGTATAAATTATCAAACGAAATTCTTCATATCATCAATTCGAAATTTTCCGGCGCAACGACAAATTCGGGCGCATTCTTTTTCTCCGATTGATAGTAAAGAGCTGTACAAAGGCATTCACTGATTTGTAAGATTCTCCTCGATACAAAAAGTGACTTGAGCAGAGCAGGTGCTATAAGCTTTTGATTGGGCTTATATGCACTATGTTATATGAAATTGTAATATTCTCAATAGTTCGCATATAGTAACCATATGTGAATATTTCTAAATCGTGTATTATAACATCACATTAAAGAAGTGCGCGAAAGGTTATATGATCTAGTCGATATGAAGTGAATCAGTCTTGTCGAATGGCTAATACTTTGACTCATTGAGAATGAAGACCGCTTTCATTTCGACTTTAGGTTGTATGCAGCATCAAAAATATGGAAAACTTATCGAAGTTTCTGCAGTTTCAGTTGCATCAATCTTCTATTGCGCTTTGTTCATATGAAATGCCTATCTTCATAAGTATTTCGTTCACGCTATAAAGTATTCGATTTCACGCGTCAGTTACTGCTTGGCAATGAGCACTGATCGTTTCTCATGGAAGAATTTTCAGCGAAACTTAAACTTAAACGAAACTTTCGCTTGACTGTCGATAGAAATGGCCGTATTGGAATGGCCAAGTCTATCGGCTCTCATACTCATCACTTGCTTCCATCTTTCGAGGAGTTCGAACTCAATTGACGATTATTACTCGGATAATTATCAAGAATTTGCTGCTAGTGAAGGTATGACAATGACTTTTTATTCACTTATTGGCAGTTTATTTATTTGTTTATTTGTTCATTTACGAATAAACGAATCTGTTATTCGTGAACATCTACAAATCTCTGATTGAATTGAAGTACACAAAAGCATAAAGGGTCAAAAGTATCCTCTGAAGATTTATGAAACTTCAGAACACGGAATACGAATCATTTCAGAAAGAGGTCTTTTCCCGAATATTTTCAATTTGGCTACAAACGCTTTAATACGGGCCGATGCAACGTGTGGTCAACATCATCGTGAAGTTTACTGTAAACTTGTTGAGCATGTTTTCAACAGGTTCGTTTTCATCTGGAATAGAATTTTTTACATCACTCTCCATTTTTGTGGTCTATCACTTCACTGCAAACATTATCGGGTGACCGATGCATCGAATTTGATTCGTTGAATGCAAAATTAAATAAAGCACTCGAAGCATTCGAGATTTATTTGAGCGTTGTTCCGAATTTTCATTTGAGGAGAAGTCGTCGTATTGATCACCTCAATCTGTTTTAAGCATCTCTCAGAACAATATATTTTTCATTCGGTTCCTTGACAGCACGCAGAAACTGAATATAATTTCAGACAGCCACAATGCGATGTTTGTGATATGAATAATGTGAACAAACGACATCCAATTGAATTCGCAATTGACGGTACACCAAAATGGTGGCAAAGTCCTTCGTTAGCGAATGGTCTTGAGTATGAACGTGTCAATATCACGATTGACTTGAGACAGGTCTCATCTACACCTCATTTCATATAATTCAAACTCGACTGATTATCAACTGTTTCATTCACTTAGCATTTCAGTATTGCTCTTTCGGGAACTCGCTTTTAATCATTACCTCTTTCCATACCCAACATTGATCACTGCATTGTATATTCCAAAGTTTAATTGGAAAGAAGAATTTTTAATGGAGGGATGGTGTGATGAACAATTGCTGGAGACATCTCGCTGTTATATTAATCGGAAATCGTTGAAACATGATTAGTATTGTAAATGAACAATTCAAACGCATACTGTTAGGATGAATAGGACTTCCAATGTGCTCTAAAGATCATTTCATTCAGTTATATAATTTAATTGAATGAGATAATGTAGCACATTGGGAATGTTCACTTTTCGTTCTCTACAGTATACCGACAGTTTATTGAAAAATGTTTAACGACAGAGAATACTTCAATAACTGCTGAATGAGACTGCCTCATCATTGGAACTTAGAGAGGGGAAAAGCAAAGAAGAATTATGTAATGAATGAATGAAGTGAAAATGTTGTAAAGGTTAAGGAGGTGATATCGGTTCAATAAGTTTCAGTACGGTATTTATGCTTGGAGTTGCATCAATAAACCATCCTGTAGCAATAAATAAATTACTGAGTGAATTTTGATCTAATGCGAGCCGATTTGTTAAGGAGTATCAAGTGGCTTATGTGATTGTAAAGAGTGCTATTGCACCTCGACCGGGAACATGGGTGTTAGAAAAATCAAAGGATGGAATTATATATCAACCGTGGCAATATTATGCGACCAGCGATGCGGAATGCATGCGACATTTCGGCGTGCCCGCAACCGTGGGAGTACCACGATTCACCAGGGACGATGAGGTTATAACTGCTTTTCATCCTCTGATATATAGCTCTCTGTTCTGGTGCAGGCTTGGTCGTCTATAGACTATTCCTGTGATATGACACCTCGAAAGGTTTCCGTGAAATGCACCAACTTGAACAAATAAATTTTCAGGTTCTTTGTACATCCTACTTCTCAAAGCTCGATCCGCTTGAGAATGGTGAAATTCATACGTCATTGGTGAACGGCAGACCAACAGCTGAAGCATCGTCTGAATTACTTCAGGTTCTCAGTGCACAGCTTTGAACAAAATTTTGTTCTGACCCTATGAGATAAACTTGGAAAATATGAAACGATTTTTTCTACTTGTAAACTTTCAACTTCGAACACAAGTTGCCGTCAATCNGTTCTGTATACTGAAATACCCAGTTACAGGGTTCAATCGTACTCTATGAAGCAGTGATTTGTTCAGCAGATATGATTGAATTGAAACAATCTGACCTAATATTCAGCCGGAAAAGCCTGGATCGAAAAAACCACAGTTCTACCAATTGCATAGCGAGCATGTACTTATTTTTCTTATTCTAGAATTTCACTCGAGCTCGTTTTGTACGGCTGAGATTGTTGAGTCCTCGAACGCTGAATGCTGATTTGATGATCATTAATCATCGCGGATCAAGCAATCGATTAGATCAATCGGTAACAAGACGTTATTTCTACGCGATCAAAGATATTAGTATTGGTGGTCAATGTATTTGTTATGGTCATGCCGAGAGTTGCCCACCGGATCCTGTTACTGGAGTAAGTTTAGCGATATTTAATTGCAATTTTGAAGTTTTTTTAAAAGCTGTAATGGAAGACATCCTGCATAGTCTAATCAGGCTCACTGAGTAGTTATGATGAAATCAGCCAATTTTTAAATTTCTACCCGTCTAAGAAGTTTAAACTTCTCAATATAGACACGACTTTACTTGAAAAACTTGAGTAGTTTACAAATCGCATTCAGCAATTCCGTTGTGAATGTCGTCATAATACTTGTGGTGAATCTTGCCATGAATGCTGTCCATTGTTCAATCAACTTCCATGGAAGCAAGGAACGCAACTGCATCCGAATATTTGCCAAGGTTCGACAATTTTGAATGATGACGTTGAACTTGTTAAGTGATCAGTACATTCAGCAATTAATATGAGAATGATGCAATGCGTATCTGCAGAATGTTCTGTCAAATTTCTTCGTCGTCATTTCTTCAACAGTTTCTTCATTTTGAATTACTTAAAAGTGCCGATTAATACCCGCACTTCAATTGCAGCATGTCAGTGCTTCAATCACGCAGATCGATGTGAATATGACGCAGAAATCGAAAGACTCGGCTTAAGTGTAACGCCTGAGGGTATTTTTGAAGGAGGTGGAAAATGTATCAATTGCAAGGTAGCATTTGAATGACTTCTCATTTTGGAATCAAAAATGCAAACTAATCTACTTCGCACATATTAATTTTTTAATGTTGATATAACGATGTATTTTGCAGCATAATACGGATGGTATAAACTGTGAGCGTTGTAAGTGGACATTTTTCCGACCGTCAGGTATCACTCACTATCGTGAAGATGCATGTCGACCATGCGATTGCGATCCAGTTGGCTCGGAACACGGCAACTGTGTTCGAGATGAGACGAGTGCAGTGAATGGACAGGTGAGCAGATAAAATCGCCATCGAATTTATAACGCATGGTAGCATATTTTATATGTACATGCATTAGCTGTATTGTACCGACTAAGAGAATACACTTGCATGATCCATGAATATCAATCAAACGATTTAATTGTTGATTTTTGACGGTTTGAAATAATTGTTCTATAAGTGCAATTGACAGTTATTATCGAAATGTATTCATGAATGCTGAAAATTTGTAACCACACCGAGCAACATTACAAAACTATATAACAAAATTTATCATCATCGTCATTTTACCAGATTGACGTACAGTAATTTGAAGTGATGCTATAATTTTGACATATCAACATAACTGACAAGCGGGAGAAATTCTCAGTGAAAAACTGGCAATGGAATGAGTAATTGCATCGTATAACGATGCATGTCTTTTTTCAAAACATGTCTTTCATCTTTCAAAATATGTTTAAATGTTTTATGAATGTTATAATTATGTTAAAACATGTTTTAAATGTTTGAAATATGTTTTTCATGTTTCGCAATATGTTAAACATGTTTCATGTTTAAAGACATATAACGATGCTGTTTTAAAACATAAATAGCCTCAATAAAATTGGTACTCCTGGTTGTTTTTCATCTGCTTGCAAATAAAAAATTCCCTTTCAGCATCCAGGCGACTGTATCTGTAAGCCGGGATTCGGTGGACGTCGATGTGATCGATGTGCAATCGGATATCGTAACCATCCGAGATGTGAACCGTGTCCTTGTAACCAGGCTGGATCGTTGAATTTCGATACATGTGAAGAGGAGATATGCGTTTGTAAAACGAACGTCGAAGGACTGTATTGTGATCGCTGCAAGGTCACTATATTCCCTATAGTACCCATCATTCAAATTTTCTCCCCTGATGCATTTGACTATGAGTAATATCAAAAATTGAGCGGAAGATCAACCTAGAGACCTCTATTTCTAAACGATTCAGTGAAGGCTTGAGCAGCAATAGTCGCTCATCCGCCGAGGTTAAGCATTGAACCGAAGAGTGAAAGTGCTACTTGAGGTTTTTCTAATTTTGTTACCAATATTTTTCAGCCAGGAACGATCAATCTGAACGTCAATAACCCACAAGGATGTCAAGCATGCTTTTGCTTCGGTCTTGGAAATAACTGTACTGAAAAGCAATGGGCTACTGCTCAAGTGAGAATGCTGTTTCTTTCATTGATGTTTAATGAATTATTCAGTTTCGCAGCCGGTGAAATCAATTTTTTCGGGGGTTAAATTAATTGTGCATTTGTTTTGCAGATTCGAGACAATTTGGGATGGCATTTAACGGATCTCACAGGTCAGAGTTCAATTAAACCGAAGAGCGAGAATGCCGAATTATTAATGTACAACGCCAACGATCACAAAGATCAACATTTGTATTATTGGAAGGCTCCGAAAAAGTTCCTCGGCAATCTGGTTATTTATTCCACCGCATCGAATTAAACTATCATTTTCTGAATTTTCAGCCGTTTTGAAACCTTGATAAAATGAACATATTAAAGATCAACAGAAATTTCTTGCCACTGGACATTTACCTTTCGAGGGCACATTGTATTGTAAACGAAAGCAGACAAAAGAGCAGAATCATTTCATCTAATGATTGAATTTGATGCATCATCATGATATCAGTAAGATATAATTCTTACCGTCTATCCGTTTCAGTTGAATAGCTATGGTGGAATGCTTTATTACTACGTTTATTTTGTACCTTCAAATGGCGGCTCAACAGTCCCAGTTGCTGATTTGATCATTGAAGTTTGCTATCAAACTTATTTTCATTGTTTAGTTCATTATTCACTATTTTGAAGCATTTTGATGAGTAATTCCATCTCGTGGTATAAAGCCGGATGTTTTGTTGTACTTCAGGGTAATGGTATGAAGTTGGAGTACTACAGTAGGCAAGACTTTTTCCCTCGTGAGAATATGAGTGTACAAATCCCAATGAAAGAGGGCAATGGATGGTACAATTCACATTTGAGAGTGCAAGTGGACAAGAATGATTTGATGCGTGCATTAGCAGATGTTAAATACATGTTGGTGAGGGCAATGTATCACCAGAATCAGCTTCAATCGAGGTCGGTTGTTTTCAAAGATTTCATTTCTGTTTTTGACATTGAACGATGATCATTTGGTGCCTTCTGCATGCAGCGCATTGCGAATAATCTTTGAATCGTTGTTTTCANTGATCTAAGTCAATCATTCCACAGCATCTTTTTACACTTAATAATGATGAAACGTTTACTTCTGCTTCATATCTATTCCAGAGTGGTGCGGAGGATTTCGGGGATTTTTCTCCGTCCTCTACTTTTTCTCCGTCCACGCACCACTCTAATCTATTCTACTCTTTCGCAGAATGTCATGTTCAGCAGATAAATCAGTGGGTATCTATCAGATAAAGGAATCTGGTTTGCGTAAATATATTACTTCGAATATCGTTGAAGCATTATGCAACAACGTAAACATCATTATACACGAACGTCTGCGCATTATACTTCTACACAGTTTACTTAACTCATACTTTCAAGAGTTTTTAGCTATAAGAAGAACTTCAAAGTCCAAAAATTTCCTTTCACTGTTGCACTTTATCACAGCAATCAACGGTCACAAACGTATACTAAATATTTTTTATTGTTATCATGCAATAAAATGAAACAGTCGCTACTTACTTCTTCTGCAATATGCACAACCAGTCATAATTCTTTATTCTATTATATTTAACCTTTCAACTCAACGAGCAACATAAAAATGAAATAGTACGAATAATGAAATTTACAATTGAGATGAAATTGAAAGTTTGAATTCAATGCAAATGAATTAGAGTTGCTCACTTGTTAAAAGTAACAGTTGACCAATAACAAGATTTGTAAACCACAGAATTTTGTTCCCGAATTTGTTAGTTGCTATCAACATCGCCACTAAATGGGGTTGAATGAATCAATGGTTTAGGAATTATATGATGGTAATGGTCTTTTAATTCTGTCGAAACTTGTTCATTGACTTCATTCTTCGACATCATTGACTCATTTCAAAAAATTACTTTATGTGGTACTACTATATTTGATTTATTCGAATTCCTATTTTTTTCGCCGACTTTCGATTCAACTTTATAAATCTAAACCTAAGAATAAGCGCTTTTGCTAGCTGAAAACGTTGTTTTTTTGCAAATTCCCCTATTGTGAGTCATACAACATTTGAGCTGTTTACATGCTGCTAATGTGTTGTAACTGAATACATTTTTTCACATAAACCACTCAAACGATAGAATCAAATCCTTTCGTTTTTATTGCTCATTTGAGTGCCAGTATTGTTCTTCGGATTGATTTTTGATCCAGTTGGAGCAAAAAGATACCATCAGGGCTGAATATATTTATCTTATGGTGCTTGAGAGTAATCCTCTATGCCATACTATGAGAAGTACATTACCATCCTCCTTAAGGCTTTACGTACTCAAGTACTTCGGCTATGGAGAGCTTCTCGGCAACAATCTCAGTGAAAAGTATTTCCTGATGAAAAATTACAATTAGATAATGATAGTTCAGGAATGTAATCGACGAAGAATATGTTCTCAACAAGCAGTATAAGCAAGCATTAACGATGGTGACTTTGCACAATAATGAATAATTTTCACCTGAGCAATCCTACCCCATTCAGAGCTCGTAATGTTGTTGCTTCAAAGATTTCTTGAATCGTTCAGCTGGGTGGTAGGAAGAGGGTGGATAAAAAACTTAGCCCACAATATGAAATCAACGAGTGCTGTAGACAATTAGGTTGAGGGAGTGAAACGATGTCAATAATCAATGATGAAGTAATACATTATTGAACAATAAATCATGATTAAGAGAACAATTATTTTCATATGATTAGATTCTGCGGACAAGTGCTCAGCTTATCGGCCACCCTCCACCCCCGCTCTTCTTGTCTCATCAAAAATCCCATTACTCTTGTAATGATATGACGTTTGCATATATTTCGCATAGTCAGTTCGGGTTGAGATGAAATGTGAAGTGGTTTCCCATGGCAACGAATTCGGATGTTTATTTTTGAAATTCCCATCGTTTTTAGTCACTTAAATTGTTTGAAATAATTTGCATCGACTAAAACGCTCGAAGTACCGGCTTCATTCACTTATCGTTAATGAAATATGTAATTTCAATGTTAGAGAAAAGTGAAATGAAATGGATGTCACGGTATGACATGAACTTAAGAAATTCACTCGAAATATTCACATGTACAAACATCAGTGATCAAACGCCCTCCTGTGTGTCATCTGCTCGTTCGCAATTGCTCCTTAATGCAGCCGATCCATAGTGATCCTGGTCCATGGCAGGAGTTCAGCGTGAGAAACTATTTTACCAAGAATAATTGTATGACTGTTATCGACGAAAGCTCATTGAAATAGTCTCTGGACAATGAGTTGCAGAAAATATCGATAGAATTCCATTCTCCATGATTTCATTGAAGATAGAAGTTGGAATTTTGTTCGAATTTCATCCGAAGTGATAGAGTTATTGATAAGAAACCAGCAAGGCTGACTGAGACATTCGACCATAATGTTCATCAACATGAGTCATTACTTGAATGATGATGTTTAATAACAAAGCGTGGATTTTATAAAGTGTCTCGAATGTTGAAAAATATATATCACACGTAAAGCGGTAAAACAACTGTATGTTTTGATGTACAGGACTGATGCATTCGTTTTGGTGGATTTATCGTATTGCTGTAGTTTACAACGTGACTGTAACCATAACTGCCGATTGTGTCGCTGAATAAGTGCAGAAATGTTCTTTATGCACACAAAACCGTAACAACACCGTACACAAACTCAGAACCATAAATTGTGTTTTTGAGATCCAACGTTAGTCTTTTCAGCCATCATATTTGTTCACTTCTAATGATATACTAGGAACGGATCTGAGTTCAATAGGACGGCATCGTATCGCCGACTTCTTCTTTGCGGCCTTTCCAGTGCGTTAAGGATATCCAGTTGTTTCAATAACCCTCTACCAAATCTATTTGTTGAACGCAGATTGCTGAATTTATTCATACCCGACTTAACACTTCCCCACATATGTTTCAACATAACCATCGCGGGGTCGTTTGCTTCGCTCATTTCAGCATAATTTATTTGTTGCAATAGTAGTAGAACGATAGCCGGTAGGATTATATTTGTACGCGATAATAAATACATTATTAATATTTCACTGAACTACTGATCTACCTGAAAGTATCAGAAGTTAATTCATCGCTCATGCATAATCAAAATTATTAGCATTCAATAGATTCCGGCAATTACTACAGCAAGAATTTCACTGCGAAGCGGAATATGACAGCACTCAAAAGAGCATAGAGTATGGTTTTATAAATTGTTTGTGATTGTTCACTGAAAGTAATATGGTAAAGAAATGATTGCATCTCTTGCGTCAAAGGAACACTATATCGTGACAGCGTTGTTTTCCTCCGGAGCCGTGAGCTCCAGTGAGGTTTCGAGTGAACGAAAATGATTATTTGTGAAGTAATGATAGCATTGGAATGAAATTTCACATTATCGAAGTTAAAATGATAGTAATGGAATGGGATGGATTATATATTTGTGAAAAATTAGAACATTAGAATGCCAATAATAACGCTCAAACTGCGAAATAATTAGTCTCAAAGGAAGCAACGTTACATTTAAGGATTACGATAAAACGAGCGAACATCGTCAACAAATCCAAATTAAAATCATTCAAAGAATCAAAGATTATTTCTTCAATTATCGATGAGATCATTGTTCACGGCTAATTTGGAACCAGTCCTTCATTGTCAACATAAGTACTTTAGTCGGATGTCCATCAGCCCGTGTTCTTTTTCACAGTAGGTGGAACATAGGCAGAGCCTAGCAAGACGATCTCCAGCTCATGACTACATAATTTCGCACTTAGGAGAACAATTGAAGTTTCTGGAGCCATCATCACCAGCATCACAATCACTTTTCGAAGAGATGGAAGAAGTTACTGAATTCAAGTCCTTCGAGAATGACACATAAATGAGGCCGCACTGCTGTGAAACTCATATTCATTCACATGATCGCTATCGTGTCGTCGATCAGGGACGTCGAAGACCTGATTCATTGGTCTTTGTGGGTATCAACGATCAATTTTTCGATGAAAGTTGGGTTGGGATCAAAATGACCTTAACATGCACTTGACGATTGGTCATTTTCTGCGGATAACGAATCTCATGAAATGATGTGGACAAGATTACACACATTCTTGAAGGGTCTTACAGAGCACTCACTAATTGAAACCTAAAGATTCGATTGAAGAGCAGAACGCCGTCCGCTCAAACCTGACGTACGATCAAGATGATTCCAATTTGCTTTCTAGCGTTAGCCAAAGCCGTAATTAATTAGAGTATAAAATGTGATCATTGATCACATGTCATTATATCATTTCTTCATCCAGACATGACTTTAGCTTTGACCTTTCTTTGCTCTTTGAATGTTTTTTTTTTCGCATATTCCTTTCATTTCCAAAGAAAGCATCTTTCACGAACTTCCACCACTGATCTGTTCGCATAATTTTTCCAAAGAAATTTGAATCGTTTTACAAATTCAAAGTTCAAATTTATGACTAGAAATTGTTATTTGAAGTTAACATTAGGATTAGCAGTGAGTTTGACCGTGTATTTTGTTTTTACATGAAAGCTCATTTTGTCTGTTTCTTTTTGAGGGAGGTGGAGGGGGACATATCGCTGCTTGTCTCAAAAGAATGTCAGTATAAGATCAGTAAATCTTCCATAAGATCAGTAAATCCATCCAAGAATGAACATAATGGAATGCGCTCCTCAACAGAGAGTTCTTTGAAACTCTGTTAATTAGCGTCTTTCCGTTTACATGTATCAATTTACACTTCCGTTGTTTACGTCTTTCGTTCAAATCACATCATTCTTCGATACATACTCTCACAAAAACCATTTTATGATGTTTCATAGAGCAGTTATAATTGGTGATCGTATTATTCGTGGAGCAATTATATATGACGTGATATCATCAATATTACATCATTGCTGTGGCGTGAATTAATTACTATTGCAACNATGATCTTTGGATGCCATCGGCAACAGTTTTGAACAATATATGT